AGACTAGCTATGAGTTACTTTTTTTTTTTTTTTAACCTTTTTTTTCTTTAACTTTTTATCGGTACCGGGGATCGAACTCACGACCTCCTGCTTATAAGGCAGGTGCTTATGCCACTGAGCTAAATCCTCAGCCCCTATGAGTTACTTCTTAGTATCTTCACCTTGGTTTCTGCTTTGGTTTTTAGCAGATGAGCAGTGGCCTAATCAGTTCTGAACAGGGACCTGAGCCCAAGTATCCTTCACCATGCTGTCTTCAGCATTCCAAGGTAAATTCAAACAATGCAAACATCCACAAGCCTGACCCAAAGTAGGCAGATCTTAAAATTTTAGTCCCTTTAGTAAAGTTATACACAATAAAATCTACTACTTTTGGTATAAAGTTACTGATTTAGACATATGCATGCATCCATAAGATACGGTACCCTCCACCACCACAAGCCACAGGGTACATACATTACCCACCTTATAACTATACCCAAATAGACAGGGTACATCTACTACCTCCCAGATTCCTTCCTACTGCACTTTATAATCAGCTCCTTCCTCTGCCTGGCAACAAGTGATCTGCTTTCTAGTTCTATACTTTTTCCTTTGCCCAAAAATATCTATCATCTTAAAATTTCTGGTATCTGTGATTCCAGAGGAGGCTGCCCATCCACGGAGACAGTTCTAGGAGCCCCATACCTCATATAGTGTGAAACTCATATAGCAATTTTTCCTATAAATATGTACCTATAACAAAGTTTAATTTATAAATTAGGCACAGTAAGAGATTAATAAGAGCTAGTAATAAAATAGAACAATTATAATAATATACTGCAATGGAACTAATATTCTCTTTTTTCTCTGTCTCTGTCTCTGAATCTCTATCTCTCATTGTTCTGTCAATTTGTTTTATTTTTATTTTTTGAAAGCAGGATTTTGCTATTTCATTCAAGCTGGCCTTGAACTCACTATGTACCCAGATTCGCTTCAAATTCACAGTGATCCTCTTACCTCAGCCTCCCAAGTCTTCAAATCACAGGCATGTACCACCAAACCTGGCATCCTGATTGTAACAATCTCAGCATATGGATTCTCTTTGGCATATCTGAATTGCAATCACTAATAGTCTTACACTTTGGGGCCATACCATGTAAAATGAAGATCACTTAAATATAGCATCACAATATCATGACAATTGAGCTGATAACCTTGAGCTAACTTAGTGACTAAAAAGAGGGTAGTATATACATTGTAGATACACTGGAAGAGAGATGATTCCCATTCCAGATGGGGCAAGGCAAGAAACCACAGATTTCATTATACCACTCAGAAAAACTTACGAATTGTTTATCTATGGAATTTTCCAGACCATAGCTGGTCACAGGCCCCTGAAACTCCAGAACGTGAAACTGCATACCAGGGACAACTGCAATATAAAACCATAACTGGAGCAGGGAACAGAAGAATGATTCTGAAAGCCAGAAAAAGCCACTGGTGAACCCCTCAAGAAACAAATAACAGGGCACCTTAGCATGAGTGGAGAGGACCAGGAGTCTCAGAAGGGCTGAAGCCTAGAGACAGAGTCACTGTATGACTCCACTACCGGTCACAGGAAATTCATGAGGTGATAATTCATCCCTCATTCAGCCTCAGCTTTAAGTTCCAGACTTTTAGCAAGTACAGCTCAGTTTTCCAATCAGGGAATGAAACCATCAGATGCTTATAAACTGATGAATGAAGAACATCCTTCTATGACTGGGAAAGTCATTCCCTGAGCACCTGGAGGGTAAGAGTATTATAGGCAGCTAAGTTAGATAAAAATATTACAGGCAGTCAAACAAGGTGAGGCCATCGAAGGAGCCAGTGGAGAAGATCAGTTACCTCGCAGCTGTGAGGGAGACAGATACATCCTGCTGTGGGTCAAACCTCAAGAAAAAAGATAAAAAAGTATCCATATACTTCTTAAGGGTAAGCATCAAGGATTGACATTCTAAATAGGTATCAATCACTTTGAGGAAGTGAGAAGGAGCCACTAACCCAACCCCTACAGGAAAAGGCCCTGTTCTGTATTCATGCCTGCTTGCTATGTGACTCACTTCCCCATTTGCTCCCAAGTCAACCAATTTTACCCGAGCAACTGTACTCATAATCTCATGGGCTGACCATAGTTCTGTCCCACCTCATGCCCACCTTGCGAGTTCTCATTTTCCTCCACCTTGAACCAGTCTCACCTTGTGGTTTTGCTCTATAAAAATCCCTAGAAAAGGCAGAGTCCTCAGCAACCCACTCAGGATCCCTTCTGTCTTTAGATAGAAGCTTTCTATCTCTCAATAAAAATATTCTACTCTTAACCCCCATTGTTCCTAAAATTTGTTCCTCAATTTTAGAGCACACAGACTTGTACCAGACAAGTTTCTTTCCCCTGTATCAAGAGGGAACAGTAGGAAGAAAGGAAGGGCCTTAGGACATGCTACTCCAAAACAAGGCATGCTGGTCCCAGAGGAAGCAGCAGAAGCAGGAAGGTCTCCCTGACATCCTGCTTTCTCCCGGGAAGCAAGACACCAGGATCCATGGACCTCACTCTGAAACACATCGTAAGACCCTCACAATTCAGGTGCCCTTCCTTTACCCCAAGGAACAGCCTCACTTCCGAAGATGCAGGGACACAGAAGAATCTCAATGACAGGGTGTGGCTTGGTCTCTCAGGCCATTACCACTGGATCACTCTTCCTTAGTCTACTACTGTTTGTGTTTCCATGTGACTCTGAGTCCTCACTTCAGAAGGTTCCTGTGTCATGTAAGACTTACAATAAATAAACTTGTATGTTTTTCTCTTGACTTATTATTATAAGAGACAACTCAGCTACAAACTTATCAGTGGGTGAGGAGCAGATACTATATTTTCTGCATGCAAGAGAAAGCAAGGAAGGAGACTGACAAAAACAGCTCCACTGAATCAGTGCTTTCCTCCAGCAATGTGCCTGACTTGGAGACCCGTTCACACCTGGTCCCCTTTAGCCTCAAGGTCTTCTAGGCCTTGATATGGTTTGGATGTTGAATGTTCCCCAAAGGACATGCATTAGAGGCCCGGTCCCCAGCCTGTGACACTATTGGGAAGAAGCAGAACCTTTAAGAGGTGGAGCCTGATGGGAGGTCATTAGGTCATCACAGGAGATTGTGGGCCCAGGCCTTGCCTCTTTTTCTCTTTTGCTTCCCAGCTATGAGATGAGCTGGTTTGCATGGACATGCTTCTGTCATGATGTGCTGCCACAGGCCCAAAGCAACATAGCCAACTGATGGCAGACTAGAACCTCCAAAGCTGTGATACAAAGAAACCTTTTCTCTCTACAAGTGATTATGCTCAGTGTCTATAACAGTAACAGGAACCAGACGGACACAAAGCACACATGCAAGGGGAAGCCAGTCCTACCTTCAAAGGTACAGACCCAGGGCCTAGTCCCTTCCACGGGGCCCCACATCTATCCTTCCATGGTGCTGCTCTCACCTTGAGCACTCTAGCCATCTACCATCAGCCAAAGGCACATTTTCAACACTTTTGCCTAGAGCGCTCAAGGCCAAGCTTGAGAGTATGAAAGCTGTCAGATCAAAATGGAGTTGCTTGTGTCACAATCTTGATCAAAAATAAATAAAGCTCCAATGTGATGGATGACTACAATTATCACAAGAGTCTGCACAAACTAGACCTATGCACAGAAAGTACTTCTTCAAGGACATCTGTCCTACAATGTCTTGTCCAACCCTGGATGGTGATATGCTTGGTACTGGTCCTTGTAGCCAAGGGCTGTGATTGCAAAAAAATTTATGTAACTCTTGTTATTTTGCCTGTAAAATGTCTCTCATCTCAGCTTCCGTGGCTATGCACACAGTTTAGTATGGCACATGTGTTCCCACTGCAGTAATGCTCTTAAGTGAGCTCTTCATTCTTCCCAGAGAGTCTCTGGCAGTCACAGGTTGACAGGAGGTCTCACTTGCAGGGCTGGGGGACACCAGCCCAGCTCAGCACAAAAGACATCCAGCCCATAATATAAGAGTGACAGCAGCCCTGCCTTTGCATAAGAGCATCAGTTTGAATTCTGGACTATAATCAATTCTTAAGCAGCCCAGAAGGCAATGAGAAGATGTCATGCTCTGAAAAGGATACGAGGGCTGCTCTGTAAGGACGTGGTCCTACTAATGTCCATGCTTGGGGAGTCCTCTTAAAAGCTTGGGAGGAATATAGTTGAAGCTGAAGACCAACCCTGACATGAGTGAGCCAAGCAGCCCATACGGCCAGCTTGCCAGTCTTCAATCTCCTCTTCACACACAGAGAACATACAGATGAGGAGCTCTCAAGCCTCAGGTCAAGACAGGAAAAAGTTCCCAGGTCCTTTCACAGAAACGACTCTCCCTGGGGTAGGAGGGGAAAGTGAAGGGAAGGCAGGGGGGTATTTCATTCGGTTCATCAAGGTCATACTCCACAGAAAAGAATTAAACAGACCAAATTTAGACCTACAGGCAAATATTAAAGATTCTTTGGCGATTTTTTATGAACAGACCACATTATAAACATTTATTATCATTCATTATGATCCAATTTTGATAACTGCAATGAATGGGATATATACAAACATGTGAATGTCTGATTCTAATGAATAACATATTATAATATAGACATTCTAAGTATATATTTAAGCATAATATACAATAACATAACCTAGACAATAACCATGTTGTATATAACATGTATAATGTATACCATATATAATTCTATACTAACTTGTATATTCTAATTCAGGCCACTGAGCTAAAATACAAATAAAATTAATATGCTAAAAGTTTTTTCTTTGTTCTTACATATATTTTAAACACTTACCAAAATTATACATTATTTAGTAATCATTCAAGAATTATTCAAACCTTAAATAATTGTGTTGTGTGATGGAAATCGCTACTCAAAGGGGTTGGTTCCCCAACACCCTCAGAAAGGGATCGGAGGCCATGTAAAAATGACAGACCTGCTTCCATTCACCTCCAGTGCAGGGCACACAGGCGGTCAGAGGAGCCCTCCACCCGTGGAACGCCTGCAGAGGGCTCTTCCTCCCATCTTCAGTGGAGGGTCTGGGAGGGCCAGTTAGGATGGCTGTCCAGGAGGCTGCTTCTGTGTCATCCACCTGCTGCTCATCTTCAACAGACAGGCTCTGGACCAGCAGCTGACAAGCCTCCAAGTCAGCTTCCCACACTCTTCCAAGCAGCGGACACTTGCAGCTAAGACAGAAGATACAGGTATCAAAATTAACTGAGTACTATCCTGTCCTACCAAGGTACTGGATTTTCCACATGGATAAAAGTCATCTGTGTGTCTTACACTTACAATGTAATTTCACATGGTGATGGGGTATTCCAGCCAGAAGACTCAGAGGTCCTGACTCTAATCCCTCAAGTCACTGAGAAGTGACAATCCTTTCCAGCTGCTGGATCTGCAAAGACATCCTGAGTCCTCTGTGTCTCTCCAGACAAAGTCACCCAACACCACAGCTTCTCCTGTCAGGGATCCAAGCTACTGATGACCCACTCATCTCTCTGGCTGGACACTTCCATAAGTGTTGTCCCACACCTAGACTGTCACCTGCCACCCACATATACTCTGCCAACCTGCCTAACATGCCACATACATCTTGACCCCATCACCCCAACAACAAATACACACCTTGTCACCCACTATCCCATTAGCACATATATACTGTCACCTACCACCCCCCACACACACACACACATACACACATGAGGTTAGGAAACTTTTCCTGGGGAAACTCCCTGCCCTGCCCTCAACCAGGTATAATGATGAGGTCTCTCACCACCCTGTGTTTTTCTCCTTTAGAGAACAGACCACATTTACATCATTTATATGATTTTTCTCTTTCTCTCTCTAAGGGAAGGGATGATATCCACTGTGTTCATTGTGCTGCTGGAACCTGCTGACATGAATCATGAGCTCAGGGTCCCAGGGTGCCCAAAATGTACTGTAGACCAGTGGACAGACCAGGGTGACTCCGTCCATGACAACTGCTGCTCACACTAGTGGTGGAGGACAGAAAAAGTGACTGATCAGGAGGACAGACACCTGTCTCTCCAGGGGGAAAGGGCACATCTCTCCAGGGATATTTCATTATCCCAGGGCCATTACAACAGTGAGGTATAGGGACTCATTGTTGACAAAATTTCTGCTGTTCATAGGAAGCCAAAACTCTTGGTATTTAAATAAAAATATGTATTTTTTACCCATGCCAGAGATCTTCTACACAGCCACCTTTCATTTAGTAAGTCTTCCTTCTCCTGTATCTAACATGCTATTTAATTAATCTATTTTATGTTAAATTTTAGTTTCCTTTAATTTTGATTTTCTATTGGTTTTTTCATATATTCAAGTTCTCTTTTTAAATTCTCTAATACATTCTCTATTTTCTTTAATGTAGTAATCATTATTTTAAAGTCCACATCCATGAATAAGGACAGCACAAGGAAAAAGAAAACATGAAGCAGAACGAATATTAGAAATTCATGTTGGGCATGATGGTGCATGCCCATAATCCCAGGCCCTAGGAGGTCGAGGCAGGAAGATCGTTGCGAGTTTGAGACCAGTCTGGGCTACACAGTGAGCTCAAAACCAGCCTGAACTGCATTGGGAGACCCTGTCTCAAAAGAGAAGAAAAGAAAAGAAAAAACAAATTCATCAGCTAAGAATTTTCAAGATGAGAGACAAAAATGACACACTGAGGAAAGTGGGGGAAAAAAACAAAGGAGCAAACACACCTCAGGTTCTCACAGTGGAACTCCTGAACACAAGTGAGAAATAGCACAAAACTCTGAAAGGCACCCAGAGCTGGGGGCGGGGAGAGAGGGAGAAGAGACACATGAACTTCAAAGGAGCAAAGATACAGGTGGCAAAGACGGGAAGCCAGAAGACAACCAAAAACTAACGTTACAATTCTGCAAGAAATTAAGATCCAACCTAGAATCATGTAATTATTTTTAATTCCCTTCAAAAGGAAGCTAAAATAAAGACATTTTCAGACAACCAAAAACCAGAAGGATTCCCCAGAAGGATCTCCACAGTGGAGAAAACGACTCAACTAGAAACGAGGACTTGAATCCACAAGGAAGAGCCGCCAGGGGAGTAGGTGCACAGGGGTCTGAGTGTGGTAATTAAAATCCACACAGGGAAGGCGGGAGTGTAAGGAATTAAAATATGCTCAGGTCCTTGTATTGTTTAGGAAGCTAAAAGTAATCCTTATATTAGACAAAAAGTCAAGGAGTCACTCTTTATGGTAATCATCCAACATAGAGGTTAAAAGAATATAAAGGTAATACGGGGGAATTTTATTAAAGTCAAAATACTTGCATACTATTTTTCAAGTCATTAAAAAAGACATACATGAATATGACAGAGGAAGAACACAGTAATATAGAAATGCTTGTGCCTGAATGTATCAGAAATTCCATTAAATGCAAATAGATACTAAATGTTTAAAAGGCAAAAAATCAAAATCTAATTATAGTTGATTACAAGAAATATGCAGCAAATATAAGGACACAAAAGATTACAAGTAAAAGTGTAGGAATGATGTATCATGAGATAAAGTGCAGAGGTAAAGTACAGAGATAAAGTGCAGTGGGAAAGGTCTCAGCTTTGAACATACTATACTATGCCAACTGGAGACCACTATATAAAAAAACAAACAATGATTCCTGGTTCATACAGTACAAATATCTATTTCAGGTGGATTGCAGATCAAAATGTAAAAGGCAAAGTAATAAAACTTCTAGGCTATAATCCAGGATATTGTTATGACTTTGCACTAAGCAGAATATAAAAGCAATATAAACAGAATATGAAAAGTACTAACTATAAATGAAACAAATGATAAGGCTGATCTCATTAGCATAGGAACTCATATTGATTTTTTTAAGCATCATTTAGAGGATGAGATGTTGAGACACAGGTTTTGTAATACTCATAGCCAATGAAGGATAGGTTCCAGAATATAATCAGGATTCCCAATAAAGAAAAGGAAGTCTGATGAGCAGGAACTCCAGAGAAGTACCATGTGACTGGCCAATAAGCAACTTCTGGAAAGATCTCCAGCATCATGAATCATCAGGAAATTGCCTATCACACTACAATGGGATGTACTGAAAGGTAAAACTCTGACTACACCGAGAGTTAGGACAGACAGAGAGACACAAGAACCTTCAACTGCTCCTGGGGGGAGTGCTCATGAGTGCAATGCCTTTGAAGTCTTTTTGACAGATCTGTTCGTGTAGAACATGTCAGTCACACAAACCAGCAACTCAACTTGTAGATATGTTCTCAACCAGATACATACACAATAAATTCTTAATATTCACCACTGTGATATTCTACCAGTTATCACAGACCTCGAATTAGCAAATCTTGCAGTACAGCATTTAGAGGAACTACAAGATCACATTCCTTTTTGCCTCAGGTCACACCTTTGTCCATCAGTCAATACATAACCTTGTTTCATGTGTGTGTGTGATTTAATATATAGCACTGATCCATTAACATGGAGCTAAGAGGCAATTGGATTATTAACCATACCCAATAGAAGCTCTGCTAATGCACATAAAAATATATTTCTTTTCATAAGGCACATCACGGTCTTCCTGTGCGTAAGAACCCCAAGAAACATTTCAACCATGAGCCTTCAAGCCACATTAAAAAATGAAAACTACAAGAATTAGAAAGATATCCCACTAAACAGACAGTCAAAGGTCACTGATGTATAGAAAGGGAGCTGAAACAGGAATGCAGAGCATCATTCTCTTCAACCTCAGTGAGGAACCTACACCTCAGAAAACTCAAACTTTCTGACTTGACTGTACATGTCTGTTACTGATGGAGAAAGCTCTGGGAACAATAGTTTTGAGGTTTTCAATATGGGAGCAGATAAACCACAAATATAGAATATGAAGATCAAATATGAGTATACGTAATCATATACTATTATTTGCAAAAAAAAAAACTGGAGGGGATGAAATGTCTTAGTTACTTTTTCATTGCTAGAACAAAACACCCAATTAAAGGAGGAAAGGTTTATTTAAACTCACAGTTTGCAGAGGCTTCAGTCCATAGTAAATTGGCTGTAAAACACGATGGCATGACAGAGGAGGAACAGTCCTTGGCATGGTAGGCAGAGAGCAGCAAGCATAAGCCTCCTTTTATCTTTTTATATTCCATCCAGGCTACAAGCCTATTGGTTGGTGTCCCCCCACATCCAGAGTGAGCCTTCTGGTCACCTACATTCAGAACTATGCTAAACCAATCAGTAGACTAATCCAGTTATCATGCAAAGGCATCTAGTATTACACATGGGTCAGTATCCATGATCCAGTTACTCCCCAAATGCCCATCTACGAGCATCTGAGGCTTTGGGGGGGATATTGAGATACAAGCCATAACAAGTGTCCATAAATCAAAAGATGGACATAATATGCGATATCCATTCCATGGGCTATCATGCTGCAATGGTGAAGAGATTATTGCTGTCTGCAACAGTATGAATGAATTTCAGAAACAAGTTTGAGCAAAAATAGACATACTAGAAGCATTTTGATTCAACTTTGATTATAGCTTTAAAGATGCTAAACCAATTCACGGTGTTAAAAATCCAGATAGCAGCTACCCTTGGAAGTCACAACAGGGAGGGTCCCCACAGCTCCTTGGGTGCAGAAAGAATTTTATCTCTTGGCAGCAGCAGTCTTGCCAGTGTGCTGTTTGTGAAGGTTTACCAAGCAGCACATACATAATGTGTGTGCTTTGTGTGTGTGCACCGTGCAGAGCAAATCTAACACAGAGAGATGGGAAAAGATGGCTTCCTGAAGACTACAGTGGGCAGGAGGGCCAGGCAGGTATGGAGTCCACAAGGAGGGATAGCCCTCCAAAGCTAGACTTCAAGTTTCCAGTTTCCTAATTTTAGCCAATCTTAAACTTGTGGTGCCTTGAAGTTTGAATCTGATTTTCTCCACTGAGATTTTTTTCAGTCATCTTTACATATCCGTTGCCTGTCTATCCCTTTCTTGAGTCCCCAGTCCTTTCCTAAGGGATTTATGAGAGGAGATATTTATTGCCATTTCCATATATTTAATTTATAGTCTATAATTAAGATATCTCTATTTCTTCTTGTGTCCATTCTAACATTTTTTTTTATTTTATGGGAAAAAATAAAGCAAAACATTTCAAACCA